CTTACACCGTTATAAACTTGAAAATATTGGATATGTTTGGTTTGTATATTTCGCTATTAATGAGAATTTGCCTATATTTTATATCGAATGTTGTTCTTTATTCGTATTTGTATAAAATATATTCTATAATCAACTTAAAATCGTTAAAAATGTAATTGCTTACTAAAATATGTAAGAGTTTCTTTAAGTTGGGGAGATTTTCAAGTTTATTTTAGTTTTACGTATCAACATAGCTTTTAGGCTTACTGTACTACTGTAACTGATGGCAAACAATGACCTCATTGTTGAAACACGTTGATTAAAAGGACAGTATTTTCTAGCCGTATTGCCAGATTCATCTGGCCGAACGCCCTCATAGCATTGTGTAATACAATGTTCCCGACAATGTTCACTTGATCTGCGCCCACATTATGAACCAAAAGAGATACTTCAATATAATATAAATTTGTATGTACAGCTGTGATGGCCGAGTGGTTAGGCGTTAGACTTGAAATCCAATGGGATCTTCCCGCGCAGGTTCGAACCCTACTCGCAACGAATATTCTCCTTCTTCGTTGGAGCATTGGAGAGGGTAAACTGTTATATACAGTATTATAATTAGGATACAAGCAAATTCAAAAGAGGAGAATCTACAAAAAATGCACAAAATATGTAATATATTGAAAATACATTCTATGAAACTTATAATGCGTATAGGCCTAAAGTAGGCTAAGCATGAAAACGAAAAGATCGGAATAAAAGAAATTAACAAATATCAAGGAAGGATCCAATGGTGGATATGGGTTGGGTGGGGGAGGGGATCCCACTACATTTTTAAATGTCAATAACAAAAAAACAAATCATTTTAAAGTGGTTAAACATAAGAACAAATCAACTGCTTGCTTTGGGTTTCATTGTCACTCTTTTCAAGGGAATTATAAAGGCGATTGGTACCACTGATTTTTAAGGCTAGGCTCCGAAGATGTATCTGAAAACTTGTGAAGAAGGTGTTTGAATATTAACCTCAAAACTAAGTTGATTGTTGTGATTTTGATTAACATAAATCACGTATATTGCATCTGTTATTCAAAGTATTCTTCTGTACAATGTGCTTTGGTTATCCCTATTATACGCTGTTTAATAAGAAAATAGGCCTATATAAAATGTACATTAATTATAAAATCTATTCCAAAAAAAAAAAAAGTGGGGCTCGTCCGGGAATTGAACCCGGGGCCTCTCGCACCCAAAGCGAGAATCATGCCACTAGACCAACGAGCCTTAGTTGGTAAGCCAAATTCATACTCCACTAATAAAGCACACATTTAACGAACGCCCACAGGAATTGAATAGCTTGTCCTGGAAACATATGACGCTTTTCACTTTAGAGTACCCTTGTGACGAAGTCACAACGCGCCACTCATCCAATGATAACATTTAAGATTCAAGAAACTTTGGTGACTAATCATATTAATTATTTAATTAATATCTGTGTTTTTTTTTTCTTTTTAATATCAGGCCTATTTCGTTTCAATAATTTTTTTTTGTTTCTAATTGTGTTTTTGAAACGCAACATCATTAGGCCTATATATTAAAGTAGGCCTATGCGTTCTCATGATGAGATTACAATATCAATACAAATCTAATTTACTGTTTTCATATATAAAATAGGTTTAATCTTGTGATAAAATAAAGATACCTTGACCTACTGTTTACAATTGACCATTACAACTTATTTTTTGTGTCTGTCTAATTGTTAATATCATATGGTAGATTATTATATTGTTAAGGTGTGTCCCCGGCCGGATTTAAAACAAAGACCTTGCATTATTTACTCCTATTCCAATCTATTTTTGATCACAATACAACTGCTTGCTTTGGCTCTTTTGTTTATTGTCACTCTTTTTTTTGGGACTCAACAACAAGGCCTTTCTTGAATGAGTAAAATACTACACTGTAGGTAATTTTTAATTTTTCATTCCTGATGATTACATGACATAATAATTAATGTCGAAATATTGATCATGGCGTGTATTTATTATACTTGGAGTTTGTATACCAGGGAATGTAATTAATTCACAAAAACAGAAAGGTCCACTGATTAATCTCAGATAAGAAAGTATAATACATACTCCAAGTATTGAAATACACGCCATCGTGTTGGGATTCAATATTTCGACATTAATTATGTCATCATCATCATCAACGATATTAAGTCGATTATAGAATATATTTTATACAAATACGAATAAAGAACAACATTCGATATAAAATATAGGCAAATTCTCATTAATAGCGAAATATACAAACCAAACATATCCAATATTTTCAAGTTTATAACGGTGTAAGAGCTGTACCCGCATAACCTCATTCAAGCAAACAAAAATACTATTTGTAAAGTGTTTACATATCAATTCTATCTTTAATTTCGTGTTAGGGGTTAGCGCGAACGCAGTCCCCCGCTACCATAAATTATAAAAATAAAAAATAAAATTATACACCCGAGTTCCCCACATTTGGGGGAATCGCAAGGCTCAACCTCAGCCAAGTGCAATGCCGAGGCTGACATAATTCCTGATGATGACATAATTAATGTCGAAATATTGAATCCCAACACGATGGCGTGTATTTCAATACTTGGAGTATGTATTATACTTTCTTAATTAATTCACTGTTCCCTGATTATACTTTCTTGCCCGGCTTTTGTTAAAGCAAATAGATTAGTTTTCCCCAACCCCCGAAATATTGTTATGCCCACCGCTATAATGTATTAACAGAATAAACTAAATTAAAAATTTGTAGTTGATAATTATTGAAACAAATACAAGTTGATGATCAAAACTCGTTAGAATGCAAATAAAAGTATGTAAAACAGGCTCACTGACATCATGGTGAAGGAATCTAAAACTCTCAAAATTCAGTTTCCTTGCGGCTCTCAACATAAATTCAGTCTGACCATGAAGGCAAGAAATTCCTTCATGACCATGGAGGAAAGAAATTCCTCCATGGTCTGACCCTCAGAACAATTTTATGCTCACCTCTGCTGTAGCGTATAGAGTTTTTCTGCTCTTCTGTTTACTTCATCCGGACACAGATGCAGCGAACAAAAAATAGCAAATGAGCTTTTCCTCTGTAGTTGGCATGCAGCTGTGATGGCCGAGTGGTTAAGGCGTTGGACTTGAAATCCAATGGGATCTTCCCGCGCACGTTCGAACCCTGCTCGCAGCGAAAATTTTTATAAAAATATTTCTAATTTTGAGCATTTATATTTTTCCAATGATGACAAAGAAACTTCTTTCTATATATTTTGCTTGTGTAATCATTTTAATTTATTCTAACTTGTGTTAACTTTATGCACGATTTAGTGTTTTTTGGGTTTTTTTTTCTTTTTGTTTTTTCTTTTTCAATATTTACAATTATTGAATTGGGTAAACTGTAATATTATTATGGACTTAATACACGGAATAAACAGCATGAACCGAAAGAAAAGAACAGACTGAAGAAAATTAACAGAATGAACGAAGAACGGAATGAGCGAAATGGAAATTTAGAAGGTGCAATAAAATCCGAATGAACAGAAATGAACAGAAATAATATATAATGACATAAACGAAATAAATAGAATGATCGGAACGAAAAGAACACCGGTAACAGCATGAAAGGAATGAGAGAAATGATGGAAATTAAAAATTTGTAGTTGATAATTATTGAAAACAAATACAATTTATTTTATTTATTTCTTTACTCGGCAAACAATTAATACAAATCAACATGAAAGGAAAGAAATAAAATAGAAATAAAAATAACAAATGAACAGATGAATAAACAATTGTTAACAATTTTACGAAAAAGTTCAAGTTATCACTTTTAAATGAATATTTTCAATTTAATTCGATCAAATGATACACAAAGATGTATTAAGTTCATAAAATTACTCTGCGCATGCTCTGCGTATTGACTAATTCTTTATTTTTTTGGTTAATGATGGGCCTTATAATAAAATAATGTGAATAAACTGTCAATGACCGAAAGGTCCACTGATTAATCTCAGATAAGACAGTATAATAAACTGTTAATGGTTATAACTAACTTTATACTGTTCTAGAAATCTTTCTTTTAATTAAAATTATTGCTTTTTTATTGATATTGTGATTATTTTATTAAGTACGATAATATTCAGCTTGTATTAAAGTTAATTTATCAAGAGGCCTGCAAATCAGGTTTACGTGCTCAAGCTGCAGTCGATATAGCTTTATCAGTTAGCATTTCCTCTGGTTTGAACATTGGCAGTATTCGCTATCTCTAACATCGTCGTTGCCAATCACTTCTCCCAGCGTACGAAATGATGCAGCACAAAAGTACATCTCAATTTCCACATGGATGATACGGCATGAATGATTGTTACAACCGCTAATGTAGAAAACAACAGGTAATGTAACAACCGTTTATGTATATAGCACACTCCAAAGCTTATGTAGTAAAACTCCCAGCTAATGTAGAAGCACCAACAGCTTGTGTGTAAAAAGAAAATCAACCCCAGCTTATGTAGAACGCTCAATTGCATCACAGCTTTATGTAACTAATATCGCCAGCTAATGTAGAATATTAAAATCTTACAATACCATTGCGAGAATCATGACAAAGCCAGAATCATGCCACTAGACCAACGGGCCTTTTTTGAGTAACTGAAATGCATATTTCTCTGTAGGAATTGACCACGCATTTAACAAATTCTCCTGATAACGAAATAAGTACAGTAGCACCTTATTTAGACGAACGAACTGTATTGAAACACAAGCTTTATGTTATATACACTTTGGTATTTGCTGTATATAAACTTGTAAATATGGATAATTTTTTTTATTCCTGATGATGACATGTCTATGACATAATTAATGTTGAAACATTGAATCCCACACGACGATGTATTTCAATACGTGGAGCATGGAGTTATAATTATCTGAAAATAATTTTAAATCCATGCTTGGAGTATGTATTATACATAGAGGAAAAAATAGATTTATGTTTCTTTCCTCCATGATTAGACAGGTTTGCTTGCCCGGCTCTCGTTGTTAAAAAAAAAAAGAGATTATTTTGGCCTTCCAAAACGTTGTTATGCCCACCTCTGTAAATGATGGAGTTTAGGTTTTCCGTTCACTTGATCTTCGCCCACATTATTAACGAAAGGAGATGCTTCAATAGAAAAATTTGTATGTACAGCTGTGATGGCCGAGTGGTTAAGGCGTTGGACTTGAAATCCAATGGGATCTTCCCGCGTAGGTTCGAACCCTGCTCGCAGCGAATATTTTCCTTTTTCATATTTTAGCATTCGAGAGGGTAATCTGTAATGTGTTATAATTATACAATTGGGTTAAAGCAAATTATAACGAGGAAAATCTACAAACAGATACACAACAATATGTAATATACGGTACTTCATAGAATGTATTGAGAATAGGCCCAACGTATAATGCGCATAGGCCTAAAGTAGGCCAAGGATTAAAACGAAAAGATATGAATAAAAGAAATGAACAATTATCACGGAAGGATCCAATGGTGGATATGGGTTGGGTGAGGGAGGGGGTTCCCATTACATTTTTTAAATGTCAATACATACCTGGTTATGTATTGAAATAAGAAAAACAAATTAGGATACATTATACGTGCCCCTTTCCGATTTAAAACTGGGTAAAAATAAGAACAAATCAACTGCTTGCCTTGGGTTTCATTGTAGAGGGTAAACTGTAATGTATTATAAATATACAAGCAAATCCAAACGAAGATACACAAAAATATGTAATATATCATAGAATGTATTGACAAATAGGCCAAACTTATAATACGTATAGCCCTAAAGTAGGCCAAGCATGAAAACGAAAAGATCGGAATAAAAGAAATTAACAAATATCAAGGGAGGATCCAATGGTGGATATGGGTTAGGTGAGGGAGGGGGTTCCCATTACATTTTTTAAATGTCAATACATACCTGGTTATGTATTGAAATAAGAAAAAACAAATCAGGATACATTATACGTGCCCATTTCCGATTTATAAGTGGGTAAACATAAGAACAAATCAACTGCTTGCTTTGGGTTTCATTGTCACTCTTTTTAAGGGAATTATAAAGGCGATTGGTACCACTGATTTTTAAGGGCTAGGCTCAGAAAATATATCTGAAAATTGTGAAGAAGGTGTTTGAATATTAACCTCAAAACTAAGTTGATTGTTGTGTATACTTGGAGTAGGCCTATGTATTATACTAGGGAATGTAATCTCACTGTTCCCTGATTATACTTTCTTAGACAAGCATGCTTGCCCGGCTTTCGTTAAAGAAAATAGATTAGTTTTCCCTCACCCCCGAAATATTTTTATGCCCACCGCTGTAATGTATTAACGGAATGAACGAAACTAAAGTTTGTAGTTGATAATTATTAAAACAAATACAATTTGATGATCAAAACTAACTAGAATGTAAAAAAAAAATATGTAAAACAATTCTCACTGACATCATGATGGTGAAGGAATTTAAAATCTCCAAATTAAGTTTTCTTGCGGCTCTCGATGTTACAACATAGATTCAGTCTGACCCTCAGAACAATTTTATGTTCACCCCTGCTGTAGCGTATGGAGTTTTTCTGCTCTTTTTATGTTTACTTCGCCCGGCCAAAGATGCAGCCAACAAAAATAGGAAGTGAGCTTTTTCCAGTAGGTGGTAGGCAGCTGTGATGGCCGAGTGGTTAAGGCGTTGGACTTGAAATCCAATGGGATCTTCCCGCGCAGGTTCGAACCCTGCTCGCAGCGAATATTTTCCTTTTTCATATTTTAGCTTTGGAGAGGGTAATCTGTAATGTGTTATAATTATACAATTGGGTCAAAGCAAATCCAAACGAGGAAAATCTACAAAAAGATACACAACATTATACGGTACTTTATAGAATGTATTGAAAATAGGCCCAACTTATAATGCGCATAGGCCTAAAGTAGGATGAAAACGAAAAGATCTGAATAAAAGAAATGGACAATTGTCAAGGAAGGATCCAGGTGGATATGGTTTGGGTGAGGGAGGGGGATCCCATTACATTTTTTTAAATGTCAATACATACTTGGTTATGTATTGAAATAAGAAAAACAAATTAGGATACATTATAATTGCCCCCTTCCGATTTAAAAGTGAATAACTAAAATAAGAACAAAATAAGAACATTTTGAATTTTAAATCTGCAAAAAAGATAGGAACACTGAGTCTGGGAGAAATTTTACTGGTTCTAATAAAGAATAAAAGAAGAGTGTAGTATACATAATATTTAAAAATGTATTAAATAAAACATGTAATTTTTAAGTAAGAAATAAAAGCAAGTGGAGCTCCTCGAAAAAATGAAAAGCGAAAAAATACATAAAAACACAATGCAGCTTCATTTTGTCACAAATTTTGAAATGTCCTTCATAAAAGACACAAAATATTCCAATGGTCGTTGGCTTACGTTGTGTAATGAAAGAATAATACATTTCACAAAGCGAGAATAATTCCACTTCAACAAACCTTAATACTTGGATGAGCCAAATTCAGATTCAGAGCCTAGCACCTGACGATTGAGGAAGTACCT